AATGTGGTGGTCATCCCAGGTATGAAAGGAACATATTGTAGCAAGGTCAACAGGTAACATTTTCATAATGTTTCTGATTCCAAAGTGCCTAAATTGCTTTTGAAAATGAAAGTTGAGTACCCTGGAAAATTTTACTAGACAGTGCCCAAAATCCAGTAACTTCCACTGAAGTCATGGAATGACTGTGCCATTACCATCATCCAACACAAGTATAAGTATACATATAGTAGAACTCAGTCTTGGTAAATACTTATGCAGACTGCCAATTTGAACATCCTCTAATAACCCATCTAGGGACCTTGTTTAGACTTTAAGCAGGAGAAAAAAAGCAAGCACTAGGGGCTATAAACTATTGTAAAATCCCAAGAAAATCTTTTTCTCTTAACTGTTGTCATCCTCATCTGTGCTTTGCAACAGTCTTCTGACATGCCTGCCCCAATACCAAATGAGATCACTAATATAGATAGGTATGCGTTCCTACAGTGTGAGAACACACAAATGATTCCAGTATAAACAATGGGGAATAACCACACAGCTCTGACTTTATATGGAAGGAAGTTTTCATCTTCATTCCTTGATTTAATCCTAATGTTTCTGCATGTGCAAGAAACTGGGACCAGGCTGGGCGTGCAGGGCTCGTGAGAAGCCCTCTGTCTTGAAGGAGGAGGTAGCCATAGCACTTACCTGAATTTCTGAGATGGCTTGAGAACCACTGGCCTAGAGCAATAGCTGGAGTCACTGGTAAGGGCTGGTTTCCAGTAACACATTATATTTTTTGTTACATGTTAATAAATGCAAGTTTGTTATAGATAGTCCATTTGCTTCTCAAGACAACGATCATCCTATTAACTGTATGTTCGTATATCACTCATCACAGTTGGTGTTGGTCCTGACTCAGACTTCCAGGCCCTGCCATAATGTATGCAATAACTCAGAAGGGAAACTCCTGACGGGAAAAAAGTTTTAAAAATCTATGAGATGTACTCTGATACTTGTTAGTGGTAGACAGGATTGACAGGGGACGGGGGACAGGACAGTACCATGGGGAAAAGGACACGTCAAACCCATTCCAGAGGGAGGACTGAACTTTAGTTTTAATTACAGCCCATGAGACAGAGCTATAAAGTCAGGGCTTTGTAGGTTTGCAAATGCACCGAAAACCTAACACTGGGAGTTTGGAGCTGATTGGGGCAAGGCTACAAGACAGCCCTTATGTACCAGTACAGATTTTATGGCCAGAAAAGTGCTGAACACTTATAATCAATGACTAAATAGACATGAGTCCTGCTTTGAGTACAGGGTTGGCCTAGATGACATCCTGATGTCCTTTCCAACCCTAATTTTCTATGATTCTATGGGGGTGGATAGTACAACTCAGGATCAGGCTCTTCATAAACTTCAGTTACAGTCACCCAGTAGGGGGGAAAAAAGTTATGCACAACATAGTTGGGATGCTACAATTCTTTCCCATCTACCTACCCCAGTGGCATATATCAAAAGATTTAGTAGCCCTATTCCATTTACAAAGTTGCACTGCTTCAGTTATTTTTCCCTAACTGCAGAGTAACTGCAAGCAGACAGACACTGCACCAGCTGTTTTGTAGTGAAGTCCCTGCTCCCTATTGACTGACTTTAATGTTACCATCTGTCCGTACCCATTATTAGACTCTCCTTGTTCTCAACTCTTTGCCTTTCCGTACCTTTTTTGGTCACTGTCCTGAGGTATGCCACTGCCTGAAGTAGTACAGTAAGGAGCTCGGACTCTTAGAGCCTGCCGGTACCTCAAAGTGCTGAGTTTCATCTCTTCCCTGCTCAGCATAGCCAAAGTCTCCCTTAAGGAGAGTAACCAGCAGATGCTTCTGCAGTCTCTCTGCTGCAACTCTTTCTTAACAGTATGTACATGCTTCTGAAGACAGCATTGAATCCCAGCACATTCAGGAAGTTTTCTTTTCATACCTGAAAAGCTAGGCACTGCACTAAAACCTTAGTTGCACAGGATTGCATCTTGTCTAGGGAGTCAAATTAGCGTACAGCACAGGCCACAGCTTGAGAGATCCAATAGTGAGGTAGGAAGAACCATCTCAAAAATGGGAAAAAAGCTACAGGAACAAAGAGAACTGCCTGGGTGATTGTCAGGGCCTACAAGCATGCAGCAGACTTCATATAAAGAACAATCTTGCCATGTAAAGTGAAAGGGAAAACAAAGTGAGGAGCTGTGATGTTGCAGTAGTAGGAAGTCCAACTTGCGATCCTCATGAGAATGGTGAATTTTTTTTGGGGGGGAGGCGTGTTGTTTGTTTTAAACAAATAGCTCTGCAGCTGGAAATCAGGTCTTCTCAGTCTCTTTCTCTGCCACTGGAAACAGCATCCAGTGGTGTCTGAAGACTACACAATACTGTTGCATTTTGAAAAATAAACTTCCAAGTAGGAAAATAAATAGCTGTGTTGTTCCAGCTAGCCAGAGCCAGAGCACAGAAGCCCAATGCCAAACAGCTTATAATGAAGTCTCTTGCGCCAATATTGTTTGTTACAATAGCCTCTCTGGTCCTCCCAAAACAATCATTTTATAGTTGGTCGAATGCACTCAGGGAAGTCTTGATTTTACTCTTTTTCCTTAGTCAAAACTGCTTTGCATTTGGTGCAGGAAGTCCTGCTGTGGCACTTACTGGTCTTCAAACTCCTCAAGTTGCTGGGTTTCTATGGAAATAAACAAAGGCAATTGCTGCTACTGCCATATGAAAACAGGTCTCAGCTAATGCCAAGCTACCTTCAGACCTTCACTAATGAAGCTAGCAACCTGTTGCTCCTGAGGGACAGACAGTGTATTCTCTAGATGTCTGTTGAACACTGAATAATGTGTAGAACTGGAAAAAAGCAGCTCCTGAAAGAAATCTCCTCTTGGAAGCTAGTGCAGAAGGGTGGAGTTGGGTCCTGTAGTGGACAGAAATTCTATCATATTTCTGCATATGGCACCTAGGTATTATTAGTGCATTATAAAGGCACAAATGTGTTTTCCCTTTGGATATTGTCTTTTCCTTCAAATCTGGCAAGTAATGGCTAGGTGCCCTTGCTTGCAAGTGGCTTGCACTCCATTTGTTCTGGTGCAGAACAAGGGTGTAGCCAGTTTCACAATCCAGAACTGCACAGATGGGTATAACCATCATTTTGGTAGGGGCTGCTCAGCTTATAACATTAATTTAGGGCTTGGTGTCCTTAGTGCCCCTTAAAGAGAAAGGGTAGGGCCTTCTGTCCCTGAAGAGAGGGAGAGAGAGAAACAAACTTTTCAGGACTGTCAGTATTTTCATCTTTTATGAGCCACAACGCTGAGAAGAATTCCTCGGGTAGCTCATCTCTGAGATTCTGTTATTTTCTCCATTCCAGCCAAAATCTTTCAGGGAAGGGAGGCATGTGTACAAACTGGGTGCTCATCTGCTGCTCAGGTAGTGCATAAAGTTTCAGCCTAAATTTCTTTATCTTACGTAACCAATGTCAAACTGAAAGAAACCAAGGTGCCCACAGGCCCTTTAGCTTTTTAACAAGCCACAGTTGGAGAAGCAGTTGCTAGAATCATTCTGCTATGCTTTTTCTGAAGATGGACAAGTGAGATAGTAGTATGCATGCAGTTAAGTCCTATGAATGATCTCTTGAGCAAAATGCTGGAAACATGTTGGACCAGGACAAATGGTAGGTTTTATCATTCACAGGCACTAAAAGACAAATAAGCAAGAGAGAACAGGTGGGGGAAAAAGGCAAAATACAAACTCCTACAAACTTTACTACAGATGCGTCACAAGCAGGTCCAGGGAGGTGATCCTTCCTCTCTATGTGACGTTGGTCAGGCCACAGTTGGAATACTGTATCCAGTTCTGGGCGCCGCACTTCAGGAGGGATGTGGTTAACCTTGAGAGGGTCCAGAGGAGGGCCACTCGCATGGTCAGGGGGCAGCAGGCCAGGCCCTACGAAGATAGACTAAAAGGTTTGAATCTATTCAGCCTCCACAAGAGAAGACTAAGAGAGGATCTGGTGGCCATCTATAAACTCACCAGGGGGACCAGCGGAAAATAGGTGAGGCTCTGTTCCCCTGGGCACCACCTGTGATAACAAGGAATAACAGCCACAAATTGAGCGAGGCATTACTTTATGGTGAGGGCTGCCAGGCTCTGGAATGGGCTCCCAAGGGAGGTGGTGCTCTCCCCTATCTTGGGGGTCTTCAAGAGGAGGGTGGATAGATATCTGGCTGTGGTATTATGATCCCAGCACTCATTCCTTCCTAGGGCAGGGGGTCGGACTTGATGATCTGTTCAGGTCCCTTCCGACCCTAGAAACTATTTACAATTATTTACTTTTAAAAACAAAGCTACAGCATTAAAGAGGCAGTGGCTGAGAATGACACTTTTCTCTCCAACTGCCATGGCCAAAGGTCAATTTAAGAGAAAATGCTTTGCCTATTTCTTGAGCTGACTTCCCTTCAATAGACACATTCATTATTTTTCGGTCAGTGGGCCCCAATTCATGAAACTACATCATTGTACCCTTCAGTCCATAGCTATTCCAGGCAAGAACTAAGCAAGTGCTTGAGTGCTGTTCTGAATAGGGATGTTTTCCTCAACTAAGACCAGTTAACCTTCCTGGACTTATATTTATGTGGCTCTGATCCAGGAAAACTGCAAGGTGCAACTTATTTCTTAAGGGAGATTTAGCAGTAATCACTGACTGACAGAACAGCAACATTTTAAACAGACTGCTTAACCACAAAGTAAGAAACAATTTAGTGAAGGTCATATTTAGAAAAAGTGGTTGTATAATCGGTGAGTTTTTCACTAGGTCCCTCATGATTTCCGAGATTTAGTTATTAGGCATAAAGGATATTCCTTCATTCTTCTAACTTCCTTGAAATTGCATGTCAGGGAAGGGATTTAAGTAAACAGTAGAAACCCAAGAGGAAGGTAAAACCTATGGACACAGGAAAAGAAAAGAAGACTCCAATATATTTCAATACATATGTTTACATTTTTATTTTGTTTTGCATTGCAGGCTCTCAATATCCCACTGAAATACAGTTAGCTTTAAATTAATAAACAGGTCATTTGTTCCTATATAAATAGCTGTCATAAAAATGCAGAGATTACATCACAGGATCCATCATTTAAATCTCTCAGTAACAAAACTATTAGAGTGAGAGTACTGGTTTATGTGAGGGTAGAGTGTTTACGTAAAAGGTTTCATGTCTAAGAAAAGCTGCGGATTAAAGGAGACATTGGTAGGGATGCAGGTGATGCTTCAGTCAGATTCTGAACTCTCTGGCTCATTGATTTGGTACTGACTGACGGTCTCTGCCAAAGGAGCCATTGAGCCATCAGGTCGTACTCCCATTGGTTTTATAAACTCATCTCTGCAAGAGATTAAAAAAAATTCTCTATTAGCATAAGTATACATATATCAAGCCACACTGTTATAATACAGACATGTGCAATCACACACAGTTATGTCCTTCTATAAAGAGAATCTTTAAGAGGAAAGTTGGACTGAAGTTCTCCATTTGAACAAGAAAGGGGAACAAAAAATTACCCAAGATGGGATGGGGGAAAATAAAGACATTCATGTAGGCCAAACCTACAAAGCCAAATGAAAGCTACATGAAAAGTCAATGCTTAAAACAATGAATCTGCTCCTTGTTTGAAATATACACACTAGCTTTTTTTCCCCTAAGAATTCTTTAAGAAATGGTCAATACAGTTTCACCTGCCATTCTAGGCAACCCAAATAATTAAAATAAATTATTTGATACATATTCATCTCATTCAGGGAAACAAATCAGTCGGAACACATCCTGCCAACCCAGGCTCTAGTGGTACTTAAGTACTTGTTGAATCATTTCGAGTCAGCTGGCTTTTTTTTTTTTTAAACTATTGCTTTTGTTTGTGGTCATTTAATTACAGGATTGACAGCCATTTTAATCTCTTCAAAGCTCCAAAGGCCTTTCTACTGCTAATCCAATTATATCTACTCCACAAGCTACAGACCCATCTAAAAGATGATTAATTATTGATTAAGTCAATCAAAAAGTATTAGCAAAGATTTATTTAATCCTTACTTTTCATCACCTCATTTATTATATGTGGATTATGGCAAAGGCTGTGAGGTCAGAAAGGAACATTTTGGGTTTTCTTTAGGGGGGAAAAATATTTTTCATTTTCAAGAGGTGCTTTTAAGTAGTGTGCAGGCCTGACCCTAATTTGCCACGTTTGAGGGAAAACTTTGAAATTTGCCCCTTGTGCTCACAGAGAGTCATAAACTGGACCAGGAGAATATAGATACAGCAAAAAAGAAAAAAGACGCATTTCACCAACTCTCTGCCAGATCCAGGCTATCTCCTTAGTCAGGGAGAAACAGAAGTACTCTAGACATAGAAAACAAACCTCACCTTCTGCTGATAGCTGCTATGAAAGCAGCTGCAAAAGCAATACCTGACTTCCACAGTATGAATGGTGAGCTAGATGTACTGGTCAGCAATGGTAAAACACCAGTCTCAAAAGAAAAATTAGAAACTTTCATTGTTGTGAGACATGGATGAGAACAGTAACATTCAGGGAATAAAGGCTTCCAAGTATCACAGGAAAAAAACAGTATTTTCTATGCAGTGTGGTTTGGGAGACCCCAAACCCGATAAAGTCAGTGCATTTTGTTAAGTAGGACTAAGATGGATGGGGAGAGCTTGGTACTCATGTAAAGGCTGCAACCCCAGAATGCTGATGAGGATAGCCCCTATGCTTCTTCCTTGTAGTCCATTACCCAGGGTGATTTAGTATGGGATTTGAATTGCTCTTCTTGAAGGGGAGGGACTTGCCCATGTGTTCTTCAGTACTGACTCCTCCTCCTCTTCTCGTGCTAGTAATACAGTTTCTAAGATTTTCTCTTCGCCAAGTGACAGTGAATTTTATTCAGAAAGTTCTCCTGAGACCACACGTACCTAGAAGATCCCTGGGGGTTGGGAGTGTTGGAGAACGACATGAAAAGAACTTTCAAAACCTAATTCTGTAGAGCAGGGGTGGCCAACCCATGGCTCCGGAGCCACGTGCAGCTCTTCAGAAGTTAATATGCATCTACTTGAATCTTTGCACAAGCCCATGGTGACCAGCTTCCATAGCTGTTGCGTCACGTCACGTGATCCAACTGCTCACAGCGAGCACATTACTCAATTTGGACTCAGAAGGTTGGACTCCGGAGCTGCAGGTTGGCCACCCCTCGTGTAGACCCAAACTACAATGAGGATCCACATAGCTGGTGTCAAGAGATGACCCACACTGTTCTTGCTGTGATGGAAGCTCCCCACAAAGCAAGTGGTGAAACACTTTGGAATCTTTTCAAAACCTGAAGATCTTTGCTCTGAGAGGACGTAATGTAGGAGTTAGAAGTCTCATGGTTTAGAAGCCTAACGCTCAACAGTAGGCGACAAAATTCTCTGATCCCCTAATTCTTAAAAGCTGCATTTCAGCTACATAACTGTCTCTCACTCATGTGAGAATCTCCAGCCTTTGTAGAAAACTTGGTCATTGGACAGCCAACAGTCATGGACGCAGAACAGAATCAGGGTGATTTATATTTTTTAAACCAATGTGTGTAATGTGAAATGCCTAAACAAGACTGGGAACAAGGACTGGAACCCAGAATCCAAGCCCCCTTCACCATCCCACTCCCTGGGGAGCTCCCACTGCAATGGGTCAGTCAGGTTCCCTCTTGTTGCTTCTCCTTCTGGCATCATACATCTTGTGCTCTTTTCTGCCTAGTGACTTGGCTTCAACAGGTAAGGGTAAAGAGTACCTTGCATGCAACCTATGCTACAGCCTAGTGGTTAGAGCACTGTGCACATCCAGTGCTGCACTTCATACTGACATTCATGCTGATGGGGTCACTCAGGCATTGGGAGTGCTCTGTAAATGCCTAAAAGATCAGGGATCTGAACAGAGTACTGCTGAATTTCAGTGGTGCTTAGGTGGAAATCAGGTACTACATACTAGGTATGGATTACTTCCAAGCACATGCACAAGCCTCAGCTGAGATGTCCAAGAACTTTTCAGGCCAAAATAGAGGTCCCTAATGATTCTAGGTACCTACACAGTTTTCTGGATGCCAAGAGGACCGATTAGAACTATACACTTTGTGAACTGGGCACCTAAATTCCACTGGAGCACCTCTGGGAAGGATGTACATCTAATCCCAGGTATCTGAAAACTGTGAAAACTTAGAAATAATCCTGAGACATACTGAAAAAACACCAAATAAATAAAACCAGGGGTGAAGGAGGAAGAAGAAAAGGAGACAACAAATGAACAGATCTGACCACCATAGGAGGACTTTAACAGAGATGGAGTCCTATAGAGAAGGTACAACTAAACTCCATGGAAGTTATGTCACCAGTTTCAGTCAAGACCACAATTCACCCTTTGCCTCTAAAAGATGTTCCTACTCCTATTCTTGTCCATACAGGCCCATGGAATGAAAAACTAAGAGCAATTAAACCAACCACAGCAACTTTTGAGGTGATGTAAAGGGCAAGGATGGTTGCTCACGTATCTCAGGCCAATTGTAGTTTACTGTAGGTTCTATGCAGCCAACCACATAGACCGCACATATTTTAGCCATCAGCAGCTTCCAGGACAATCCATGAGAAGAGAATTGAAAATAAATCTTGGAGGCATCTTGGAGGCAGAGCTTGGCAACTAAAACTGTTTATTCATACACCAGCACCTAATTCTCCTCGGGCTTAAAGATCTTGCAGACAGGCATAGTCTGGAAATCTTCAAGACTCATCACGTCATCATCACCTTCACAGATTCCTAGATTCCTAGACATTCTTCCAATTTAGACAGAAAGAAAAAGCCTTCCTACAAAGCCTGAATAGCTTGTTTCTTTGTTAGGCAGTCTAAATGCCCCCACAAAAGTAATAACATCTGGAAGTGCCTCCAAATTTTCAGGATTGGAGATACCCGACTTGAACTCTTCTTTTTTTCCAATTGACATTTGGAATTCATTTTAAGATTGCAGAATAAGGAAGAAGGAACTGGACATGCAGATCAATTGCATCAGATGCTGGTTGCGTAGATACAGTGTCCTAAGTCACTGCTGAGAACTAAGGGAAAGTCAAACAGCAAGAATCAATAAGCATGGAACACATCAAAGAAATACCATGATTTCTTTTCTCACCATAATTCCTCATGACACACAGTACCAATCTGCAAAACTCACGTTGCAGGCCATTTGTTGGTCAAGCAATTGTTTGACTCATCCTTCTAAACAAAATGTAATGGAAGGAAAGTAAATCTTCATATAGGTTTCCTAGCTCATTGATACAACTTATGTTTTATTTTCCGTGAGGATATTCAGAATTATCAAGTGTAGTTTCACAAGAAAAGTTTAGACCATTTTAGTTTGTGATGCATCAAAAATAAGGTCAGCAATTTTCTTTTAGATCTGAATTTTCTATAATTTCTATGCACAGAATAGAAATAGAGGTTCATATACCTGATATGAACTTATTCTTACTAAAGTAAACCATTTGCAGAAGTACAGAATATCATTATAAATACAAATCAGTGTGTGACACAAGCAACATGTACTTCTCTCTAAAGGTTAAAATACACTCAAGAGTTTTGTACTGACAGCAATTACAAAGTTAGAAGACTAACTTGCCCCCTCAAATGTACCATATACATGTATATGGTAATGGTGATCTCCTGTATTCCTCAACACTGTACATCACTGTCTTGAACTACCACATATTCTGTCCTGCCCTCTCAAGTGCAACTATGATCCCCATCCCCAGAGGCGATCCTAGCAGGAGCTCATGAGCTGGGCGGCCAGAATGCTACAGACAGAGAGGGGGTATCACCCTTCTCTGGCCCTGCAGCCACTGTAGTTTTTTTATGGCAAGTGAGGATCCGAAGCCCTGAATTTGGCAGCAGCTGCAAGGGCCCGGGAAGGGTTCACCTGTCTCTGCTGATCTCTCTCTTGCAGCATCCTGCTCTCACTCCATTCCTGTAGCTGAAGGTGCCTCCATTCCAGCACCTTCCTTTACTGAACACCTAGGGCTCAAGTGTCAAAGATGGCAGCTGCCTCCACTACTCGTGGCACATGCACCATAGGTTACCTACTCTTGCTGTACATGTTTCAAGACATCATGTTTTGACTACGTACTGCTCTCTAAATGCGGGTTCCATTTTTAGTGCCACTGAACACCCATGAGGGGTGCTTGGGGAACCAGGGAGTTTATAGAGCTCCTCTGGTTTCCTGCACAGGCTTCCTCCTTTACCAGTCCCCATGTGCAAGGGAAAGTGGCTGTCAGGTTGGTTAACTCCGTGTATGTTGAGGCAAGTGAAGAGCGAATTCAGTTTT